TTTGGTTTCTCAGGAGTACAGAAACCTTTAGTAGATAAGGTGTAAAGAGAATTTGATAAAATGAAAGTTGCCTTTGCCAAATCGTAATAATTCACTCTTGTTTTCTCAAACACCTTCAAACTCAATTTGAAAAATTGGTTAATCACTGGATAAGTAAAAGAAACCAAAGCGGAGATCATTTCAGATGTTTGCAAATTATGTTCAACCGAAAGTGCCATGTTAACACATTTGGATAATTTTGCAATGATAGTATTCAATCTGAGATTCTTTATATAATCAGACATTCTATGTTGAGACAAAACCAACCAATTGTCATCATCTCTGGAAATTTCATCTTGCTTTTGACATTCCACAACTTTTTGAACAACCAAAATAATGGAATTCGTAAGATTTCTAAATTCTTTTTCAACTATTTCGACACTTTCCAAAGATTCCAATGAAGTAGAATTAGTAATCTCACCAATGGTTGAATTATTAGATATCCATTTCAACACAACATCAGCGACAAAAGAAACCTCAGAGTTTTCCACCTTCCAGGTATTCAAAGATGCAACGATTGAATTATAGAATCTTCCAAAGTTTTCAATATACTTTGAAGTACTATCAGAATAAACAACTTCATCAACACTCAACACCAATTCATTCAACTTAATTTTCAATTGATAGAATAATGACGACGAAACATCGAACCCTATCTTCTTAACAGATTCCAATGTAACTAAAGCGTAATCCAACAATTTGGGTAACCAGAATTGGACATGACGAATACTTTCAATATTCATTTTGATAGAGTCGGAAACACTCACTGGAGCCACAGTATGTGATAAATTGTTTAAGCTAGCAAGGTTGTAGACTTTTTCATACCACTTGGACAATGATTCTAAGTTCTCTGAGAATTTCTTAACTGGAACACGAGTAACAATTAAAGAATGAATCAAGTTTTCAACTGCTGATAATCCTTTTTCAATATCAACTTGTGGTACTTCTTCGGTTCCTTCACTGACACTAGCTCTCAATCTTGGTAACAAGTCCAATATTCTGAAAAAATATGGGTCACAATTGCTAATCATAGAATTATCAAACGATACTGAATTGGCAAGAATTAAGTTAATGGATTTTTGGGTAGCCAAAATGTTAGATGTCAAACTTGTTTTCAAACCAGATCTTCTAATTTCCTTAATGGTATCACTTAACAACTTTCTTTTTTGAGTTTTCAAAGCAGCCACTAATTTCTTGTTTGAATCCTTTAATTCAGAAGGAGTTTCTTTCTTGAGTCTATCCATTTCTGAAATTAATTCACTAGCAAATTCCAACAAGTTAGGTAAGTCTTCATTAGAAACCCTTTCAATATACACATTCATGTTCTTTTCAATTAAAGTCAAATCTTGAAGTCTCTTTGGTCTTTCATTCCAACTTGAAATAGTCTGAACAAGACTGGCTTCGTTACTGGAAACAACATTTTGAATAGATGGTAATTCTTTGAATCCCTTTACACTACTAGTGGCTTCAGTGATTCCTTGTTCAATAATTGGGTTGAACTTGAGTACTCAACAAAGAACGATACTTTTCAAACAATTTTGTACAAACTGTTGGTGAGATCCTTTCTGCACTTTGTTTCAAGCCTACATATTAAACGGTCTTGTCTACTGGGCCAACAATATTACCTTCAAAGACATTCTTTCTCCAATT